ATATATATATATATATATATATATATATATATATATATATAGCAGCTAAGAAGAATTTCAAGGCTAAAGTAAAATGTTTGTGGGGTGTTGGGGTGTACAGACACTGCACGGAGACAGCCGAGGCGCCGTGTGTAGGAGGAGTCTCCTACGGGGCTCGCGGGCCCTTTGGGGTATGGCTGGGGTGTGGGGTTTGTCTTTGTCTCTGTCTTTGTCTTTGTCTTTGTCTCTGTTTCTGTCTCTGTCTTTGTCTCTGTCTTTGTCTCCGTCTCTGTCTCTGTCTCTGTTTCTGTTTCTGTTTCTGTCTCTGTTTCTGTGTCTGTTTTCGTTTTTGTTTTTGTTTTTGTTTTTGTTTCTGTGTTGTGTTTGTCTCTTCCTCTGTCTCCTTTTTCTCTGTATCCTTTTTCTGTCTCCTTTTTCTGTCTCCTTTTTCTGTTTCTGTTTCTGTTTCTGTCTCTGCGTGAGTTTGTCTTTGTTTGTGTCTCCTTTTGTGTCTTTGTATTTTTCTTTGTTTTTGTTTGTATTTTTATCCCTTCTCTTGTCTTTCTTTCTCTGTCTTTGTCTCTCTCTTTCTTTCTCGTGTTTATCTTTTCTGCTGCTGCTGCTTTCTCTCTATCTCCTCTTGGTGTCTCCTTCATGCTGCTGCTGCTGCTGCTGCTGCTGCTGCTGCTGCTGCTGCAGCAGCAACTGTCTCCTACCAGCCACAGGCACTGACAAGCCCAGCTACTCTTACATCATCTTTAACCTCTCTCTCTCTCCGGTGTGTGTGTATTGCTGCTGCTGCTGCTGCTGCTGCTGCTGCTGCTGCTGCTGCTGCTGTTGCTGCTGCTGCATGCAGCTAAGAGGCAACGCCGCGTACGCAGCCTTTGGGGCTTTTGCTGCAGGAGACAGCAGCAAGCTGCTGGCTCAGCCCGACCTGCTGGGGCGGCAGGATGTGGGGGACTGGGTCTCTGCTCTGTGGCTGTGGACGCAGCAGAAAGTGTAAGAGAGACAGCAACCGCCACATGCGTGTGTCTCCTGCTGCTGCTGTTATTTCTTTTCTTTCTTTCTTGTTGTTGTTG